TTTTTTTTTTTTTTTTTTTTTTTTTTTTTTTTTTATAATATTGCAAATTTATTCTTCATATTCTTGGTGCATGACATTATATATGACACGATTACAAACAATATAATCTATCGAAATATTGTATACATCAAAATGCTACAATACAATATAATACAATACAATACAATACAATACTATACGGTACATTATGAAACGATAGATAACAACCATCCAAACAAGCAATAAGCGATTGGATACTGCTTTTATTTTGATTCATTGAAAGAATTGGCTAAGCTTAAAATTTATAGAGTTAACAAAAGTAATATATCAAAATATAGTCTTAAGGAATTCTATTTATTCGAAGAGAATTAGAAAACTCACATAATTTCGAAAAGATTAGCCCCTTTAATAAGAATGTAACACTAAGATTTATGTTATTAAATAAGGATCAAGTCTTCCTCTGCTTCACCCCTATGTAGATGTCAATTTCAACAGCAAGGAGTGCCGAGGGGAAAACATTACGTGATTTCTTCTCTTAAGTATTGATGAATAGAATTATAAGATATTTGTACTGGAATTACTGTCTTTTGATAGGAGGTAGCAAGTTTCCAATGGAATAGTCGAGGTAAGCACAAATTAGCCCCTACACCAGCTATATTTGTTTATAGCCTGTTTGGCCGAGCTGCAAAAATTAGTAACTTATTTTGAGAAGTGCTTTTTCTCAAAAGTAATTGTGGTGAGAAGAAATTTGTGTTTGACTAATTAATTTAAAAAGTACTTCTACGCAGTAATTAGTGTTTGGCCAAGCTTTTAAAACTGCTTCTAAGCGTATTTTTCTCAAAAGTGCTTTTCAAAAAATGCTTGCTAATTAATTTGAAAAGTACTTCTACGCAGTAATTAGTGTTTGGCCAAGCTTTTAAAACTGTTTCTAAGTTATTTTTCTCAAAAGTGCTTTTCAAAAAATGCTTTTGGGAAAAAACTATTTTTTTATATTTCTCCAAAACTGCTTCTGCTTCTCCTCAAAAACACTTTTTTCTTCAAAAAGCTTGGCCAAACACATTAACTTTGAAAAATAAGCATTCTAGAATTGGAGAAATTTGGCCAAATAGGCTATTACTCTGTTTAATAAACACTAAATAATTAAATTAGTGTTGAAGTCCAAATAGAAATAATTCCAACAAACCGATATCAAGTATATTAGCTACTAGCAAAAAGCATCATTTAACAGAAACAGAAGTAATAGTTATTAAGCAACACTAAAGCAAGAAATCTACATTTTAACTACCAAGATATATACTTATATCTAGAAAAATTAAAGATCTTTATGAGGCTCGTTTATTAATTAATTTATCAAAAACATTCAAAATAATTTTAGAAGTTTAGAAAAACAACTATTCTTGACTCGCTGACTAATTTATAAAAAGAAGGGTAGCCGCACAAAGCATTCTGTATTTACGCAGGATTCGAGGAAGGGCCGTACCCCTAATGTTGTGACATAGACAACATATCCTAATGTAAGTATTAGTGGCTGCTTCCACTGCTCGAACGCGTGACTTATAGATCATACGAAAACAGTCTACCCTAATACACATATTAGTCGACGACTAATATATCATATACAATATGCAAAAAATACTTTATTACTAGTTTAAAAGTACTTTTCTCAATACGAACTACCCTTCCCCACACACCCTCTTATTCTACACCATTTGCATATTCGTACCAAGATTTTCTCAAATCCCCTTCACAAAATTTATGAAAACTAACTAATGAGCTTACCTTTTAGCCCTAGGTAACTTATTGATAATTGAGATTCCAAGAAGTCAAAAGACACATACTTAGCTAAAAAAACTAATAAGTTGTATGATATGAGAGGTTGGGAAGAAAAAATATGTGGGGTTGTTTTGGTTGAAGATTTGCAAAAAGATATTCCCCTTTTCCACCCTAATAAAATCTAAAATTTGAATTTAATGGGTTCAACTTTTAACTACATTTAATGTACTTTTGAAAATGAAATATTCAAAATGGAGTATGGCTCCGGATCTATTGCATCATATTTGCTATGGCCTCAGGGACGAGAGGAGGCAAATGCTCCCAAAATAGACCCGACCTTGTGCCGATTGAAGCTTCTCCTCGGGCTGAGTTCTTGCGAAATTTCTTGCAATTTTATTAAAAAAACTATTCAAGAACAAATTTAGCGAGACTAATCTAATATTATTCAACATTAAATAAAAATTAGGGCATGCCAAACTTGGGGCGGTTTCTGCCTTTTAACACGCGGTACACCATGTTTTTCGCATATATTTTCATGTTTGGTGTCGAAAATATTCGGTTCAATAGAAGCCATAGCTAATTAATAAGATACATTACCACTAGCTAGCTAGATATTAGTTTAGGTGCGTAAAGTAAAGTCAATTAAGTTACAACCAATGATACCACATTATATTATTATTTTGGTATTTAGCCAACAGAGAACCATACTTATCTTCTTAATTATATTTTCAAATAATTATATTTTCTACCAGCCAAGTGTTGGGGTCTTGTTTGATGATGCATGAAATTGCCAGTGTCAATGGAGAGAGAGATTCTTAGCTAAGGAGAAAGACAAACAGAAACATGTTTTCTTCTTCCTAAAGATCTGAGTCCATTTGCTTATTAATTTATTAAACACCTTTTGAAAATTTGATAGTTTTCTGCTTGTTATTTCTTTGCAAGTGCGGTTCTGGACCTCTTTGTCCTTCTAATAATCTTATTTAATACAACTTAAAATGTTTTTATTAGGAAATAATTTAATATTTAGTAGAGGGACCAAGGTCAATGAAGCTGGCTTGTTCTCTCTCTCAAAAATGCTTTGAATATTTAAGAATATATTCATTTGTTTTTTTCTTGCATTTCTTTTTTAAAAGTTATTTCCATGTTCTTGATAATTGATTTTGAAACCCTAGCCAACTTGTTTCAATTAGGGTGTCTAAAAGCAACTAAATTATGACAATTACCCTTATTGCCGTAATCAGCGACTTAACTCGTTGATATGTAAGAAGATCTTATTAATTTATTGCATTAATTAAGACTTTATGGTGCGTTTATGACGGAGCGGAAATAAAAATGACTTTTACACTAGGATATTTTTCTTTAAAAAATAATTGAATTAAGTAAAGTTCATCTTGATTCTATAGTAATTGAAGCCACGATAACATAGAAGAACTAAATGTCTTTCTATGAGGCTTCATCAATTACGTAACTATTGCTAACAAAAAAAAAAGAAGNTATATATATATATATATATATATATATATTTTCTGAGTACGGAATATAAATAGTTTCGGCCGCGAGCTAAAAATGAACTTTGCCCAAAAATTAATCTTTCAGTTTAAGTTATATATATATTGTGTAAGGAATTTTTACACGCATCCTATCTTATTTTCAAGATTAAAACTCCCATACTTTAAGAAAACTTACATGTAAATATTCTTTGACGAATCTGATAGCATAAAGAATTCTTTATACGGACATAGTATATAACTTAAACTCTTGATATTTTCTTTTCTAGTAACCTATAGATATTTGCGTTAACTCTCTTTCTTTTATCCCAAATGTTTTATAGAGAACTCTTTTAATTGGCTTTCTCATACCCTCAACTTTGCCCAGAACTAATTTAAGTACTTAGGCTGGTTCCATCAAAATGAACCAATAAGAATATGAATAAATTGTCAAAGTATATGCAAGTTGGCTGACATAAAATGCCCTATCAAGTTGGAGTCCAAACAGTTCACCCACATAAATATGTTGCTCCATCTTAATTTATTTCACTTCTTTCTTCTTGATTATTTAAACAATTTTTCGCATCAAGTACTAAAAAAGTCATTTACTCGAAAATGGAACATAAATTAAGTCTTAGAAACTACTTGAGAACGACAACCATAAATAATTCGTTCTTCACGAGACATAAATACGGGGATTGAGAAAATACATGTTAAATAATGGCAGAGAATTAATTTGCTTATATTAGTTTGTGTACGGGTTTCTAAAGGGGCTTATAATGTCTTAGAGCTATTCGATCCATTCTTTTAAATTTTTAGATTGAATGCTCAAATTCTTTCATATGGTATCAGAAGGACACGATCTTCTCTCACATCTAAAATCGGGTTAACGTACATGAGGATGTTAGAGAATACACTTGTCCTCATTAGTTCGTGTAACAGTTTCCAAAGGAGTTCATAATTTTTTGAGTTACTCCTATCCATCTAATTTTACTTGAGGTTTTTGGATTGAATGCTCAAATTCTTTTGCAAGTGAATAAACAAAGAAACTTGATACCCTTATAATGGTTTGTTCATATTTACCAAGAGCTTCCTTTTAAAGCATTTTTCAGTTATATGTTCCTTTTTCTGCGGCACCTCGATAGGACATGAGCGTGAAAGGGGTTCATGAATCAGTTTGCATATTGATTTGTCCCCGATATCTCTTGGGACATTGACACAATCGATCGACCTTTGATATATATCAGACATTGTATTATCCAGATAATTCAAATCGAAGCAATTTTAGTTAAGTTCCAAACTGTGGCAGTGCATTTTAGATATATTTCGAATACATAGATGTTATTTAGTTACGATACAAGTTAGAATGAATATATGTGTTGCAAATTATTTATTGGAGACAAATTTATCTTTGTCTGCATCAATACCTAACGAAAGTAGAGCAATAATCCAAGATTTTTAGGGCAAGGTTGGCGACAAACTAAGAGGATGGAGCCTTCTTTCTTGATTTTAGCTGTAGAATTTCATCCACATAATAAGATAACATATTATGGAAAAAGCTAGCAATTTAAATATTATATTTTGAGAGAAATTTTGTATAGTACTTTGTCATGTTATTAAAAAAATATTAGCAGTAAGCTAATCCAAAAATGACAGAGTAAGAGAGAGTCACAAAAACCCTAGAGGAGAAGACTTTTTGGTTTTCAAAAGTATCACATCATCCACTCTTTTCTACCTATAAAACCAAGTCTTCTCTTCCAATATTTTTCAAACCAACATTCACAAGTTCAAGAATCAAAGGTTTTAAGAGATAGAGAGAAGAAGTAATTTGGAAGAAAACTTTATTAGAAGAAAAAAAGTTGAAAAAAAAATGGGCAGAGCTCCTTGTTGTGACAAAAATAATGTGAAGAAAGGTCCATGGTCACCAGAAGAAGATGCAACACTCAAAGCATATATTGAAGAAAATGGCACTGGTAATAACTGGATTGCTCTTCCCCAAAAAATAGGTATCATCTTCTTCTCCTTGTCTCTCTCTATATTATTCGTTTCGATCGAGAAATACCTTTAAAAATTGAGAATTGTTTTCAAGACTAATTTGATTGATTTTAAAAAAATATTTTTTTAGGGCTTAAGAGATGTGGAAAGAGTTGCAGGCTTAGATGGCTCAATTACTTAAGACCTAATATTAAACATGGTGGATTTACTGAAGAAGAAGACAACATCATTTGCAGCCTCTATATTAGTATTGGCAGCAGGTATATATTCATCTCTCTCTCACACACATGCACACAGAAAAACACAAACAATAACAACAAAAGTAATGGAAATCCAACTAAATTACTTGTCCTTTAGTTCTTGTTAGAGATCATTATTAGGAATATCTCACATCTCCAAGGTTCTTAAGACCTATATATTTTTATTCATGAATTGCTTTTTGATGATCCAAATTCCTTTCTCAGAGTTCACTTTGTTTAAGTGTATAACGGTCTCATATGAAAGCTTAAGCTGTTATATTATGTCATGGCGAACTTAGTCTGATTATGTTTAAAACCCTTTTGTGAAAACTTTAGGTGGTCTATAATAGCTGCACAACTTCCTGGAAGAACAGATAATGATATCAAGAATTACTGGAATACTCGATTGAAGAAGAAGTTGCTCGGGAAAAGAAAACAATCTCAAATGAACAGATTATTACTTGCTAGTGGTGGTCAAGATCTTAAGGAAACAAATGGATTAGAAGAAAATTCCCTATTTCAAAACCTAAGCAACTCGGCTCTCGAAAGGCTTCAACTTCATATGCAACTTCAAACCCTTCAAAACCCTCTTTCTTTCTATAATAATCCTGCTCTTTGGCCTAAGTTAACCCCTCTTCAACAAAAAATGATCCAAACCCTACAAGCTAATGGCTTAAATGAGAGTCAATCACCTATTTTCGCACCGATAAATCCTAGTGATAACCAAGCTCATGAACTAGGGCAAAAAGTTGTCATCAATGAATTTGCTAATACCATGACCAATTTCAAGGTGAATGAAGTGGAAAAAAGTACCACGAATAAAGGCATATCATCTTCAGACAGTACTCCTATTGTGTCTAACAATCAAAGAAATGTTCTTGACAAAAACATAGGGCAAGAAAACACAAGAGAAATCCAAGTCCAAATCCAGGGTGTTCAAGGGTTTACTCAGGCCGAGATCGATGACCTAATTCTCAACAAAGGAATTGGCTTTAATCTACCATCAGAAAATCACCAAATAGCTGAATTTGATTGTTTTAAAGAGATGGATGATGGATCAAGGGACAATTTGGCATGGTGGTCTAATGAGTTTGATACAAATACAGCTTCTTCATCAAATTCTTGGGGTTCATCTTCCAATATTTTTCAACAGACTGAAGGAATGTATCAAGATTATGCACTAGGGTATAATTTGCAATGATAGATTTATGAGGTATAGAGGTATTCAATACTATTGCAAGGGGAAATAGGAGAGCTTTGGGTAAAGGGTGTTTGTAAATTTGTGTGAATAATGCTTTCTCTTTGTCATCTTGCCAAATAACTTGTATGACATGACTGTCAGTTAATATTTTCCTTTTTTTTTTTGTTATCTCTCAATGTAAAACATATAGTAATATTATGCATCTAAAGTCCATATTAAGAGTTATCTTAACTAGAGTGAGTAATCACAAACTATTTCTATCGGTTCACGAATCGAAAATCTATTTCCACAGCAAGCCCCAGAATGGGTACATGTGTACTTAGTCGTGCAACATTCGAGTTTTTGTTTTAAGGGACATTCTTGTACATCTCCTTACTTTATAGCAGTTATTTTTTCGATTCTAGAAAATATAACTTTCGAGAAGAATGAAATGTGCGTTCATCCTTCAATAATTTCGAGAGAAGTACGTTAACGTTTGTACGTTAATTTGTAGAACATCGAAATAGTTAATGATTTGAATTGAGGTGCGAAGTGTACTAGGTTCTGAACATGGAGAGTTTTAGGTTATAATAATTCAACAATTTAGTTAATTTTGAGATATTTCATAACTACTCCTTGCTACCACTTATCATTAGGAGTCGTTATGTTCCAAAGGCAAATTATATAAAAATAAGTAATGCAGAAATTATAATATAGAGATTACAATGTATCGACTATATCTTGTTTGATGGTTGGTTCGTTGTGTTAAAAGTTAGCATTTAACCTATAATTTAAAATAGGTGTTTACTTTAAAGTAAAAGATTGCTTTATATGAAGGTTCTTTTTGTTATTTTAATTGTTTTAATTCATTATTAAATAACGCCACACCTAAATAGAAATTGACATGCTAGAAAATATAGGACAAATAAAACTAACAAAAATAAATAAAAATGTTTTACTTGTGGAAGCATAAAAGTTTTAGCAAATATCTGTCCTACAAGAGTTAATGAGTAGAATCCCTTCATATTCTTAATTATTCCACATTCTTCCCGCATAAGATGATTATAAATTATTGCATTAATTTTGCAAGTATTATGCGGAAAGAAAAAGTATAAAACAAACAATTTATTAATAATGCTAATATGTTTATGTGAAAATTATTTCTCCAAACTGATGCAACTAGTATCACCTACCTTTCAGAAATTGGCAATACTCATCATGATTGATATTATTTTTGGCGTTTTGGGATCATAAAACAAGAATTAATGATTATGTTCACTTTTTCGTGTGTTTATATACATAATAATTTTCCTGAATTTGGTTGACGAACTTCGATTGACCTAAAAATTGGTAGATCCACCCGATATGGCCTTGTGAGCAATACTCACCATGAATAACATCATTATTTTTTTGCTAGTTCGGAGTCATAAAATAGGAATTAATGATTATGTTCACCTTTTCATGTATTTATATACATGATAAGTTTTCTAAATTTGGTTGATAGACTCCGATTGGCCTGAAAATTTGTGGATTCATCGGATATGGCATTGTGAGCAATACACACCATGACCAATATCATTTTTTGCCGTTTTGAGGTTATAAATAGGGATTAATGATTATGTCTATTTTTTTTTTGTGTTTATTATATACATGATAATTTTTCTGAATTTGATTGACAGACTCTGATTGGTCTAAATATTAGTGGATCCATCGGATATTGGTCATGGCAAAATGAACCCTAAAGTTATTGCGAAGCAATGAGTATTGACTAGTGGACCATTTTCTATGGACCTACAAAATTTCAACTAATTGGAGTCCGTAAAAAGAATTTTACAAAATCATCGTGTACTAGTACACACCAAAAAGTGGATATAATCATAAACTCGTATTGCATGATCATGAAACGCCATAAAATAAAGTTAAAAATCATGGTGAATCAATAAGTATTGATCAATTAACTGTTTTCTATGGACCTACGAATATTTAGGCCAATTGAAGCTTGCCATTTAAAAAAAAAAAAATCAGCATGTACACACAAAAAAGTGGATATAATCATAAATTCGTGTTGCATGACTCCGAAACACCATAAAATACTAGAAAGTCATGGCAAAGCGATGAATATTGATAATTTCAAACCAACTAGAGTCTGTCAAGAAAATTTTACAAAATTAGCATATACTAATACATACGAAAAAGTGGATATAATCATAAATTCGTGTTGCATGACCATGAAATACCATAAAATGAACCCAAAAGTAATGGCAAACAATGAATATTGGTTACCAGGCCGTTTCCTAGGATATACAAAATTTCAGACCAATCGGAATCCGTAAAAAAAGATTCTATAAAATCAGTATGTACTAATACATATGAAAAAGTGGATATAATTACAAATTCATATTGCATGATCATGTAACGCCATAAAATGAATCCGAATGTCATGACAAAGCAATGAGTATTGATCACTGGGCCATTTTCTACGGACCTATGAAAATTCAGGTCAATCGGAGTCCGTCAAGATTGTTTTTACAAAATCACCATGTACTAATACATACGAAAAGTGGATATAATCACCAATTCATGTTGTACGACCAAACACCATAAAATAAATCCAAATGTTTTGGCGAAGCAATGAGTATTGGTCACTAGTCCATTTCCTATGGAACTACAAAATTTCAGATCAATCAGAATTCATCAAAAAAATTCTTTAAAATCAGCATGTACTAATACACAAGAAAAATGGATATAATCACAATTTTGTGTTGCGTGATTATTAAATGTTATAAAATAAACTCGAAAGTTATGGCGAAGTAATGAATATTGGCCACTAGGTTGTTTCCTATAGACCTACAAATATTCAGACCAATTGGAGTGTGTCAATATTTTTTTGCAAAATAAGTATGTATTAATATACACGAAAAAGTGAATATAATCATAAATTCGTATTGCATGTCCCCAAGACACCATTAAATAAACCCGAAAGTTATGGCGAGCAATGAGTATTGATCACTTGGCCGTTTTTATGGACATACGAAATTTTAGACCAATCGGAGTCTATCAAAAAGTTTCTAGAAAATCAATATGTACTTATACCCACAAAAAAGTAGATATAATCACAAATTTGTGTTATCACTAAATACAATATAATAAACTCAAAAGTCATGGCAAAGTAATAAAAATTATTTACTAGGTCATTTCCTATGCACATACGAAATTTCAGGCCAATCAGAGTTTGTCAAAAAGTTCTACAAAATCAGCACGTACTAATACACACGAAAAATTAAATATAATAACAAAAATGGGGCCCTTCGCCCGAATTCATGCAGGCAGTTGGTCACCCGAATTCATGCCGATGGCGTGGACTATAGCACACGAAATCCTAAATTCTTGTTTTACGGCCTTAAAACGCCATAAAACGAGTAATGGTCATAGAAAAATAATGACTATTTTTTATTAGGTCATTTTTGATGGGCCCGCAAATTTTTTAACAGATTCGAAGCCGGTCACCCGAATTCATGCAGATGGCGGGACTATAGCACACGAAAATCTGGGAATCGTCATGAATTCCTGTTTTATGGCCCTAAAACATCAAAAACTAAGGAACAATCATGACGAAGCGATGACTATTGTTCATTAGGTTATTTTTGATGGCCCGCAAAATTTTACGAGATCCAGAGTCGGTCGTCCGAATTCATGCAGATGGCGTGGACTATAGCACACGAAAATCTGAAAATCGTCATAAATTCCTGTTTATGGCCCTAAAATACCAAAAAGAGCAGAACAATCATGGAGAAGCGATGACTATTGTTCATTAGGCCATTTTTTATGGGCCCGCAAAATTTTAGGAGATTCGATGTCGGTCACCTGAATTCATGTTGATGACATGAACTATACCGTAAGAAAATCTGGGAATCGTCCTAAATTTCTATTTTATAGCCATAAAACACCAAAAAAATGAGAAACGGTCGTGGCAAAGCGATGACTATTGTTCATTAGGTCATTTTTGATAGGCCCACAAAATTTTAGGAGATTCGGGATTAGTCGCCCTAATTCATGCAGATGGCGTGGACTATAGCACACAAAAATCTGGGAATCGTCTTGAGTTCCTATTTTATGGCCTTAAAATGCAAAACCAATGAGGAACTATCATGGCAAAGAGATGACTATTGTTCATTTGGTCATTTTTTATGGGATCGCAATATTTTAGGATATTCGGAGCCGGTCGCCCGAATTCATGCAGATGACAGTACACGAAAATTTGGGGAATCATCATGATTTCCTATTTTATGATCATAAAATTCCAAAATATGAGGGACGATCATGGAGAAACTATGACTATTGTTCATTTAGTCATTTTTGATGGGACCACAAAATTTTAGGAGATTCGAAATTTGTCGCCCGAATTCATGCAGATGGCGTGGACTATAGCACATAAAAATTTCGGAATCATCCTGAATTCCCGTTTTATGGACCTAAAATGTCAAAACATGAGGAATGGTCATGCGAAGCGATGACTAATGCTCATTAGGTCATTTTCTATCGGCCCTTAAATTTTTAGGAGAGTTGGAGCTGGTCGTACGAATTCATGCAGATGGCGTGGTCTATAACTCACGAAAATCTAAGAATCGTCTTGAATTGCTATTTTATGGCCCTAAAATATCAAAAAATGAGGAACGGTCATGGTGAAGCAATGACTATTATTCATTAGGCCATTTTTTATGAGCCCGTAAAATTTTAGGACATTTGGGGTCCCGAATTCATGTAGATGGCTTGGACTATATATCACGCCCCAAACTGGGCCTGGACGTAACAGTACACCCGATGCCTGATTATATGTGACCGAGCAAATCAACTAGCATACTGATTCAATATGTGATTTCATAACATACTGAATGCGGAAGATAAACTAACACATGCTGATATACGGAAAGACTGAATGATATAAATCGAAGTGCTAAAACACTAATATAAGTCTAAAACATATATGTAGCCAAGATTGCGTAACATTACAAGACTGCGACTCTGTCTAACTGTTACTCTAGTTTATGAAGCCTCTAATGAAGTATTGAGAACACCGACTATCTGTAAATAGTGAAAGATTATAAAGTAATGATGATGCCCCGAAAGAACTGGGGCTCACCAAATAGCTAGTAAGAGGATCCTAGCGCTCTGAATCGTCAAAT